CATGACATGACAATATTTTGCCATCCAAGCAGCCAAGCAGGGTGTGTCCTCAACGGCAGTTAAGTCAGGCGAGCAGTCCCAAACGGCAGTTAAGTTGGCGTAAGAAGAAGGGCTTAATTGCTTTGATCTCCGAGTTTTGAGGGCTTATATGCATCAATTACAGTCTAGGGGCTTAATAGCGACTCTGGGGTTGGTTCAGGGGCTTAACTTATGGTTTTGCCAATAATTTATTCTTTTTTTAAAATTTATTTAAGAAAAGTAAACTCTTTCTCTGTTTGGTCTTACAGAATCAAAAAAGGAATGGGATGAAAAAAGATACCGTGAAGTGTGCGACGGTCCTCATCAATAGGCGTTGAAGAGGGGCCTGAGCCTTTATTTCTGGGAATAACCCTTTAAGATGCACTATCAAGTGGGGAAGATAAGGTTTTAGCTTGTCTTCGATTATCTCATTTCTTTCCCTGTCTTGTCCTTGTCTGTTTGATTGTCATCTTCCACACCTTCTGGCTTAAAATACGCCAAACCAAGTTTCAGAAACTGCACACTCAGCAGATTAAGCTGAAATTTTGGGTTTTTACAAGCTAGGAAGGAAGGAAGGATCATGGGGCTAGCTTCATGGGTTGTTAACAATTTTGTGGCTTCGGCTGTGCTTCTGCTATGTTCTGTCTCCATCAATGTTGCGGCTGCCGGGAAACAGGTGCAGGGGGAAGGGCAGAAGCTGAGGTTTGGGCAGAATGGAGAATTTAAGATACTGCAAGTGGCTGACATGCACTATGCTGATGGGGAGAAGACGGGGTGTTTGGATGTGCTGCCCAGTCAGGTTCCTGGTTGCTCTGATCTCAATACCACCGCTTTTACCCAGCGGATGATTCTAGCCGAGAAGCCCGATTTTATTGTTTTCACTGGTAAGTCCAATGATTCCTACTATCTATATTTCTAATTTGCAATTGCAAGTCTAAATGCAAATTACGAACTGAGTAAGCAAATAAATATCTAGTTTGCTTTATCTTGAGGGAAAAATTCTCTTTTTCTGTAATGGTGTTTGAGGTTCTGTATTTATGGGTTTCAAGATGATGAAATCTTTACAGTGAGAGAGATTCTAGGAAGCAATAAGTTACAAGGGAATAGAAAGATACAAAAGGGTTGCTTTGTTGGTATTGTCCCTATAGAAATTCAAAATCTATTTATTATGGTCTGACTGACTCAGATATTAGCTTTGTTTGCTAGTTGTCTCTTTCTACTTGCTCAATGTCAACAAGACATACCAATCTTTAAGGCACTTTAATTTCATATCCATTGAATTTGAGACTTTGAATTTGGAGGTCTAAAGTTTGGATATTTAGGGCAGTTGAAGAGTGTTTTATGGATAAAAGATGGTTATCCCATCATGTATAGTCCATAAATCCACATCTTGTGTACCAAAAATTGAAATTAACCTTTGCACATGTTTACTGCTTGTGACAGGAGATAACATCTTTGCATATGATGCCGCTGATTCAGCAAAATCTTTGGATGCTGCCTTTGCACCTGCGATTGCCTCAAAGATACCATGGGCAGCTGTTTTGGGGAATCATGACCAGGAAGGCACCCTTTCAAGGGAGGGTGTCATGAAACATATAGTTGGATTGAAGAACACTATGTCTCAATTTAATCCTCCAGAAGCACATGTTATTGATGGTTTTGGTAACTATAACCTGGAGGTTGGTGGAGTTAAGGGGTCTGGTTTTGAAAACAAGTCTGCTCTCAATCTATACTTCCTTGACAGTGGAGATTACTCCACAGTTCCTTCCATTCTTGGCTATGGTTGGATTAAGCCTTCTCAGCAGTTTTGGTTTCAACACACTTCTGCAAAGCTTAAGGTAATAGTCTCTCCGGATTATAGTCATACTGAATTTAAGTTATATTTCTATAATCCTTTGCTTGTGGCCTTGTTCCTGCAGTAGCTCCATTGGTCACACCATGTTCCATATTCTAAAAGTCTGCATAGTTCAACAACTAGAGTGCATGTATTTGCGGATGGCTGATAGTTCCACATTTCATAAGATTATGCTTGATATCATTTTCTTTGTGCTGCAGAAAGCCTACATGAGCCCACCAAAGGCTCAGAAAGCTGCTGCTCCTGGAATTGCATATTTTCACATCCCATTGCCCGAATTTGCCAGTTTTGACTCGTCGAACTTCACTGGAGTAAAACAGGAAGGCATTAGCTCTGCATCTGTGAACTCAGGCTTCTTCACAACCATGGTTGAGGCAGGGGATGTGAAAGCTGTTTTTACTGGTCATGATCATCTCAATGATTTCTGTGGTGAGTTGACTGGCATACAACTTTGTTATGCTGGGGGTTTTGGATACCATGCCTATGGGAAAGCTGGATGGCCAAGGAGAGCAAGGGTGGTGGTAGCATCTTTAGAGAAGACTAAAGAGGGTAATTGGGGAGCTGTTAAGTCCATCAAGACATGGAAGCGCCTTGATGATGAACATCTCACAGCTATTGATGGTCAGGTCCTTTGGAGCAAGAGCTCTGCAGGTAAGCTAAACTATAACTTTTCTCACTCTTTGTGTTAAGTAGTCTTATTCATATAGAAGGTTGGAGTTATAAAGGAACATCTTTGTAGTGGTTTTTAAATTGTGTAATACAGCCAACTAAACAGGCCATGTAATGGTATCCTGCTTGATCAGTTCTTCTGAGTGCGTGTGTGTGTGTGTGTGCACGTGTGTATGGGTGTATCATGGAATAAATTTTTTTTTCTCTGGAAATATAAATAAATAAGCAAATTGCCCAACATCTAACCAATCATATGGCTAATTAGTTGATCTATTCTTTTACATCTTATGACTTGATTCAGTGGCTTTGATTTAAGGTGGTGCATATTGTCATTGAATGTTAATATGTAGGCAAAAGTTCAGGTCTGCTCACCAATACAAAATGTAGCAGAGGCTTGCACATTACAGTTGTCATGTTACCAAGAGCACACTAGGTGCGTTTCTAAGCTAAGCGATGTGGTTAATGACACTGGTGCATGTTTGAGCTTGTGTTTGTATCTGTAATAGAATCACAAGATCTCTAGAGTCTATGAAGCATTTATAGCGATTTTCAGCAATGGTTTCTACCATAACCTCTGGATGCTTGTACATTGGATATTTTTTGATATTGTTGTTGTAAATAGAACTATGTAGTTAATCCAGGATTCTCTTAACTAGTGGTTCATTTCTTTTTTTCTTTCGGTTGATACATCTTTTCAACCGCTAAGACCCACATCACAAGTTGTCACCTTTTAACACCATTTGAGCAAATTCACACGTTAGACATTCAAATTCGAATAATCCAACGAAAAAAATTTAGGGGTTTAATCTGTTTTCTTTTCTAGCATGCACTAGATGTTGCCTCATGTGTTGTCAAACACCAATGACAAGTTTGGTACAGGTCTTGTATTTCCTGTTCTTCTGTCGCTCACTTTTAGCTTGCCATTGCACAGGTAACAAGAGAAAGAAAGGAATCATTGGTGCCTAGAACGACGAGCAGATAAGGAGCTTTTGCTCAGCGTTAGCCGGCAACGCTTTGAGAATGCCGGTTTTGATGTTGGTTCAAATGGAACATTGTTAGTCGTGTTTATTTTAATGATTTGGTTTCTAGTTGTTCGCCTATGTGATGGAAGACACAGAAATCTATGTTTGGGGGAGAATGATACGTGATGGACATTATAAATATACTGTTTGCTGCAAGGCAGCGGACGATGATATGTCCACCAATTGTCTGTTTTAATTTAACAAATCATTTATAAATTTGCATATTTTTTTTAATTTCATTTATTATTTTTAAATTCTTTTAATTTTATCTATTATTTTTTATATTTATTTTAA